ATCCTCTCTACCTATTACACCTTACGTAGTTACAGCGAAGAAAATTTTCTTTTCGACAAAGTCAACATCATCTAGACAGCTGTACGTACATTCATGAATTTATTGAATAGATGTGTGAGAAAGACCCGAATTATACCCGGTCAAAGATCAAATTAATAAAATTACAAAGTGTAATAATCAGAATGACCGGGTGGAAAAGACATGATAGGATCACAATTACTGAGACAACTTGACTGTTATGTACAAATTACGGATTAACGATGTGGTAATGACAACATAGGTAAGAAGTCCGGATATATATGAAAATAAAAGACAGCAACCAAATCTAGTATGGCAGATTGGAATTAAACACGTTAAGTATAACAGAAATAAACAGGAAGGCTAGATAACAAGGGCAATAAGGTGATCATTGGTGGAACTGAAGTTTTCATGCTATTCTTATCGAATCTTCCTGTTTATTTCTGTTATTAACTTACGCATTGACACACACACACAACGCAGATAAATTTCAACCCCCCCCCCTTCAAAAAATCCCTTTTTCCCTACCCCCCTACCATCTGAAGCTTGTAACCAATATGAACATGACTCATGAGAATTTATCACTATGCCTTCGTTGTCACTCATATCTAATTACTTTGTAATATTGCTTTTCAATTTAGTATTACAATTTTACATATTACCACACACATATATATTTTGGACTATATTCCATTGTTTTTCTACGAGTTGACCACAGATTGATATCAGTTAGAGAACCATTGAAAACTAGCCACATGGAGTACTGGATAGCAGGCTGTTTCATCCTAGTTTTGGGAATCATCGGCAGTACGCACCCACTGTCAGGGTTCGAACCCAGGACCTTCCGGTTGCAAGACAAGCTGGCTCGTATACCATTCAGTCATTCACTGGGACCCGATTCAATGGCCAGTCCATGAATTCTAACTTCTAACAATTCGTGATTTAGCGTACTGCCGATGATTCCCAAAACTAGGATGAAACAGCAGCTGTCCAGTACTCCCTGGTTTTCAATGGTTCTCTAACTGATATCAATCTGTGGTCAACTCGTATAAAACAAAACTAATCCTTACAAACCCCAACTACAGAGATATAATCTAGTATAACAATCTAATTGCACACATATTTTTAAAGTCTGATCTAAGTGATTCAATGTTACTATTTTAAAAACCACTAGTGTTGTCAATATCAATCATTTTGTCATTATACTGGATGATGGACAGATAACTGTAGAACCTGATGATGAAGTTATCGAAAAGACTGTGTTTTTTTTGTTCAATAATCAATCTTCTGAAATTTCGAATGGGCATCTTTCAATGAATTAAAATGTTATTCCTCTTTTTTTATATCCGAACTTTCTACTTATGTTGTCATTACCACTTTGTTAATCTGTAATTTGTACAAAACAGTCAAGTATTTTTAGTAATTATTGATCCTATTATGTCTTTTCCATCCGGCCTTCCTGATTAATACACTTTGTAATTTTATTAATTTGACCTTTAAGCGAAAATAATTCGGGAACTTTCTCACACATTTATTCTATGAATATACGGATGTACATACAGCTGTCTAGATGATGTTGACTTTGTCGAAAAGAAAATTTTCTTCGTTGTAACCGTCTCTTTAATAATTTTTATAATCTAATGTGTATATTCCATGACATTAAGTAGTACAAATGATCTGTATCCCTAGCTTATAATTGCGTGAGCAACAAAGGACTTTTCACAAACAAACACATATACTCACACGACCACATAAATGTAGTAAAAACAATCTAACTGATTTCATTAACTTGCAGTGGATCTTTCATCTTATCCGACTGATGGTACTATCAAGTTACCCAAACCAAAGTAGGCAAAGGAGGATTGGCACCCAGTTGATATAGGTTGTGAAGTTGAGTAATTTAGCCAATGGAGAACGCTTCCCTTCAAAAACCACAGCGAAAACATAATGAATGAGTGATATAGCGATTGAAAATCTTGAGCATGGACAGAGAATAAGTGAAACAGAGAAACCCATCCTTCAACAAACGCTGAAGTCTGATTACATAGATGATTTCACCGTGAGTTGACATCAGTTAGAGAACCACTGGAAAACCCACCTGGGAGTAATGAACAGCTGTTTCCTAAGCCTAGTTTCGGGCTCTTCAGCAGTAAGCACCCACCGGGGTTCAAACCGAAGACGTTCTGGTCACAAGGCGAGCTAGCTCGTAGACCAATGAGCCACTGGGACCCGATCCAATGGCCAGCCCATGAATTCTAACTCCTGCCAGTTCATGCACGACATAGCGCGACCATTTCTCAATGTCTTCGTCGACAAATGAGTTACTGCCTCATCCTCAACATGCTGTACCATACCGTGGATGCGTACTGCTGAAGAGTCCCAAACTAGGCTCAGGAAACAGCTGTCCAGTACTCCCTGTTGGTTTTACAGTGATTCTCTAACTGATATCAGCTCATGATGAAATCCTCCATCCAATCATCAAACAAAATCCCTACAAAACCAACACTTGAGAATACTGAAGCTGACAGGTGAAACAACCTGGAAACGGCTAACTAAAAGACTTTGCAGTTTGATCAATTGATGAAATTCTCGAGTGTTGTCTAAGACTTCTGATAACCTTGAAATCTATTGCGCACAAACTAACCTTAAGCATACAGCTTTTGAGAAGCCTACCTGTTAGGAAAAATCTAAGATCTTAAAGGAATGTACTAATTATCAATTAATTCATGAATAATCTCCATTCAGATATCAATGAAAAAAAAAGAAACACGTAGTCCAGTCAAGAGTCCCTTTTCGGCGGCGAATTTATTCACTTAGCTCCGTAATAACAAATATATATGCTAATTTTTGTATGTGTGTGTGTTTACACTGAGTTTGTCTGATAAGAATAAAAATAAGTTAGGATTATTGTTGTCAAGATGTTTGAAAAATGTGATGAGAAATGAAATTTTAGCTCGGGGGTTGGGGGTGGGGGTGAAGATTGGAGAGAAGTCAGCAGCTGATGCGTTGTCAATTAAGGAAATAAACGCAGAAGCATCATCAAGTGAGTAGAAGTCGACACGGTTGTTACGATGATAGTAGAAGTGGTTGAATGATTTCCTTCTGCATGAATAACTCTGGTATTTCTAACTGAATGAATGGCTAAGACTTCATGAATACAGAGGAGATGTAAGTGTATTACCTTTGGTAGGTTGTTCTTCACCTTGGAGATCACTTTGAATGAAGCTGGAGGTGTTTGTCGAGATGGAATGACTAGTGTTGTTGACAAGGTGTTTTCGGTGGTCACACTCTTGATTTATCCACTATTGACATTTTGCAACCATGTTGTGGGATAGTGTTCTCGAATCCTTTCGGACGAGATGCTCGTCTAACGGTCAATGCAGCTGGCTGGTTCCACAGCAACAGTTGAACTGATATATGCACACAGAAGTGGCCAGATGTGAGATCTTGTCCTTGAGGCTTCTGTGGATTAATGGATGATTGGAGAACAATGGTGTTGGTTTTTCTGCGATGAAAATTTTCCACAAAGATTCTGAAATCCTTCTCTTAAGGGTATCGGAAGTTAAGTTTTACTTGAAACCAGATTTATGTGAAGTATCTCTTTTGGAAGAAGTGATATTTCGTTCCTGTGGACCTTTGATTTGGAATTCTTTTAGACGAGTCTTGTTGGGTATCAATTTTGGATGACGGTTCTTTTGAGATTAATAACTATGTTTTTTACATCACTTCACCACTAACCTCTCATCAATCTCCACCCCCAACACTCAAGCTACAATTTTATTACTCAGTACATCTTTGAAATGTATTGACAACAATAACCATAACTTATTTTTATCCTTACCGGACAAACTTGGTGTACAGAAACACATCCGCCTAGTCATCGCCTTCCTCGACCAACGACCAATGTTAGCTGTCATAGGGTCAGGCCGGAAAAATGCTAACGGCTGTCGAACCGAAACATGGCTTCGTCAGTCAATGAAATCCACAACAGTTATTTTAAGCCACGTAGGAAGGTGTAGAATTCCTGGTTGGTGTGTTGGTGATGCTGAACACCACAATGAAGGCTGGGAACAATGGATGATATGGCTCAAAATCGTTCTCAATGGCTGGCTGGTGCAGATGCATCCACTCCTTTTGACTTATAATACCCAATGAAACAGTATTATTCTTCATGATTACTATTCCTTTGTCTCATATCCCTGTCTACTGTCTTTGTTTTGCATTTATTCTACTTTCTTCTCTTGCTATGTGTGCTACAAGGAAGGAGTGTGGCGACTTGAACTGTCGCGCATTGATGCAAAGTTCTATGTCGAAAGCAGACGGATAGACAGACACACACACGTACAAAAATAAGTATATATAATTGCTAGTGTATAGATGAGTGAATGAATTCGCCGCCGAACAAAGACTCTTCACTGATCTACGTGTTATTGTTTATTTTTTCTCATTATATATCATGATTTCAAGTGTTGGTTTTGTAGGGATTTTGTTTGATGATTGGATGGAGGATTTCATCATGAGCTGACATCAGTTAGAGAATCACTGTAAAACCAACAGGGAGTACTGGACAGCTGTTTCCTGAGCCTAGTTTGGGACTCTTCAGCAGTACGCATCCACGGTATGGTACAGCATGTTGAGGATGAGGCAGTAACTCATTTGTCGACGAAGACATTGAGAAATGGTCGCGCTATGTCGTGCATGAACTGGCAGGAGTTAGAATTCATGGGCTGGCCATTGGATCGGGTCCCAGTGGCTCATTGGTCTACGAGCTAGCTCGCCTTGTGACCAGAACGTCTTCGGTTTGAACCCCGGTGGGTGCTTACTGCTGAAGAGCCCGAAACTAGGCTTAGGAAACAGCTGTTCATTACTCCCAGGTGGGTTTTCCAGTGGTTCTCTAACTGATGTCAACTCATGAAGAAATTATGGAAATACTACACTACTCATCAGTAGAAACTTAACATTAAAATTATTTTTTATCTTACTTTGAAAAAATTATGATACATATAATAATGATAAGATTGTGGATGTTCATGCGATAAATCGATATATTCATCCATATTAAAAGTTTTCACATAACGAAAACTAAGCTTGCCCTCATGATGATAGTCAACCAATTGCTTGTACATACCAACAACAGTGGAACCAGTCGGCAGACCAAGTGTAAAATGACGAGTATCTGAAGGCTGAAATTCAAGTATCCTTTTCATTATATATTTTGCCGCCCAATTAGTAACTGCTTCAGGATCTTCAAGAATTATCAGACGCATTATGAATACGCTTTCCAGTTATCTGTGTAAAACAATACAAAAACAAAAAAGGGTTTGGGCTAAAAGCGAAATTTTTTTAAATAATAATTTTAATAATGCTTTACTTTATTCCAACACGAACAGTACTTATAATACAGAATGGAATTCTCAGCATTTGTCACACACAATATTGCATCTGATTTACTCAAAATATAAATAAAATTAAAACAAAAGTAACCAAAGCAATTTTTCCACGTTTATGATATAAAGTCAAAATGTTCGAAGCACAAAATGAGAGTATGAAATATAATAATAATAACAATAATAATAATAACAGTGAGTTTGTTTCAAACAATATTGTCGATTCAGTTTGGAAACTTTAGCATATTATTATAGGTTATTGAATCTAAAGTTCTGTTGATATAGTATAATGAGGGGTTCTAACACAGCTTAAATTATGTTCACACTTATGAAAAATAAATACATAGAAACAAAAATTGAGAGGATTATAAATATAAGAAAAACATTAACAATAAAGTTTGGTGCTGTAAGGGTGGAAGAAATGGTTTATTTAGTAGTACGAAGAAGGTTAGTTAGTTAGTTCACGCCTGACACTATTTTCATCGCATAAAGTACGTGTAGCGAAATATGGTATAGTGGGATTTTTATACTTAGACGTACGTGCATAAAGTCTTCTGACAAGACTTCTTGTTTCATCTGAGGAGACACAAGGTTGCAGCTGCGCGTAGAGTGGGTGCTCACAATCTGACAAAATCCCTTTAGCAAATTTGTTGCATGACATCAAATGCCTATCAGTGACAATGTCAACGATATGGCCCAATGGGATACCACTCGTCCTACTGACAGTCTTCACAGTTCTACGAAGTATGATATGGTCTTTTTTAAGCAAACCAGGAAAGAATAAGGATGAACAGTGAAGAAGAAGAAGAATAGATAAAATACACGAGTTGACAAACTGTAAGAGGAGGAGTTGTTGGGTTATGCCTGAGTGCCTCAACTTCTTAATGTAAAATGTCAGATGGAATATTCTTTTAGAAATCGCTAATACATAGGAAGACCAGGATAGGTGAGAAGAAAGAATTAATCCAAGATAGTTAACTTCAGACTTAATTTCTATATCAGTGTCATCAATTTTGCATCGGTCATAGGAATGAGGAACTACATCATTTAACTTTCGTTTACATCGGAAACTGAAATTAACAGTCTGACATTTGGGAGGATTTAGTTTAAGGCCATTAGAAGAAGACAATTTGCTAATTCCTGATAGAAAGCTGTTCATCTTAGTACAGTCTAGCTTGGAAATAGTTAGATCATCGACATACTTAACCAAGTTCGTTTCTTCAGAATGAGACAAGTCATGCAAGAAGAAAGAAAACAGAAAAGGCTAAAGGACAGCACCTTGAGGGACACCAGCCTCAGTAAGCAACGAAGTGGACGACTTTCCTTGACTGACATACAGTGTACTGCTCTCTTCCTGAGAAATAAGACTGCAGCCATTTAACAACCCAACAGTCAGTTTGAGTTTCGCCAAGCTTGTTTAACAAAATTTTGTCCTTAGGTACTGAGTCGAAAGCAGATGTGTAATCTACGAAATTATTCAACAGCAACGAATGAATAAATAGAAAATTATACCAAATTACACCATTTCTGGCTTGTTGAACGTGATATCCGGTTAGCTATCAATCAGAGGATGTATGTGCTGCTTAGCAGTTTGCCTTGTCAAGTATTATGGTTGTGAGGAATGCCCATTGAAAGTGCAAGATAGCTATCTTTGATCACAGATATCTGCGTTCTGTCTCCCATGTTAGGTGGTGGTATAATAGGCTAGTGAGTAATATTGAGGCTAAGCACCAACTGTTAGGTAAGGACAGAAGCTACATCAATTGAGATAGATGTCTAGGACATGTGTTACGCAGGCCTGCCTAGCCATCACCTTTACGGCCACTGACATAGGATACATAAGGTTGGAAAAGAGGTAGCTTCATCATCAGTCAATTAAATCGACAACAGTTAGTTTGAATCAGCCAAAAAGTCACGTAAGGAGGTGTAAACTGCCTGCATGGTTAGGCTCTTTGGAATGCTAAAAACCAATGAAGGCTTCAGACAACTGGTAATATGGCTGTGTTAAAATCGTTCTCAGTGATGGCTGGAGCTGGTGCAGACGCATTAACTCTTTGTGATTATTCAACCTATCCAATAAAACCCTGCTGTTCTTCCATATTACTATTCTTTTTGCCTCAATCACACTTTCGTTTACTATCTTTCTCTCTCTCTGTTTTGAATCCCTCTTTACTCTCTTCCCTTGCTTCGTGTGGAACATGGAGGGAATGTGGCAACTCGAACAGCTGTACTTCTGTGCAAAGTTCTATGACGGTGGCACAGCGGTTAAGACTCTCGCCGATCATGCGCATGTTCCGGGATTCGATCCACTGTCGACACACACCAGATATCAATTGGTTGGCCTACTAAATTTGGGCTACCGATATCACATGCTGAAAATTCCATACTTGTACCAAAAATCACCCAGTTGTTCATTTACCACAAACAGAACCCGTGCATCAGAAATTATTAATTTTGCATTAAACTGGGACAAAAAAATATTTTCTATATACGGGAGGCATATTAGCAGAAAAACACCAAATGATCGATAGACTGACTAACACTGTTAACGCCAAACTTTGCATAAAAATCCATCTTACCTAGCCGATCATAATTGATCGAGAAAGTGTAAAGAAAATAAGATAAATAAAAAATAACACTACAATGAAAAACATAGATATGGGGGGAGAGAGAGATACACACATAGAGAGGGAAAAACTTGATGAAAACCAATAGAAATGTCCAGATTTCCTGTGGTAGGAAATAGATGAATTTAAAACATTATAAACTACTTTAAAGCAATGTTCCCAAGAATTAGTGACCAGCCAATTTATCTATACCTTTTTTCTCATGACTGACACGGATGACCAAAGTCTTCCAGGTATGGTCAGACTAGCTAGTTAACATTGCTCCTCGACATCAGTAACCCATGCGCTTGCCACCTCAACTGATAGGTGCAGATGTAGCCCACCGGGGTTAAGAACTAAACTTTCAAACAGTAGGACCCACGTCGACCACTCCATCTACTTCAGTTTGACCAACTGAGTAGTATCACCAGGCCTTAGATAATAGTTGCCACTAACAGATTTGAATATAAAGAATCTGCTCCTAGTGGCTAAATTCCAGCTAATAGTTGAATATGTGTGATATCAACATGATCTGAGGTGTAATAATCAATATTATGTCTGCCCAACAAGCAATTAGCGACGTAATAGAGTCCGGATGCTGAAAGCATTGTAATGCACAGAATATTACGAAACAAGAAAACATACAGAAATCATTCACCAAAGATAAAAAACCGAATGGAATATATTTTTTCCACCACGTTCCCAATGGAACATAGGGCGCCTTCAAGCTAGAGGCTTGAAGTTTCTGTAGCAGTGTTAATTTTTACAGAATGGAGTCGCTAGCCTCATGCCCAACCTTTCCTTTTTACCAGCCTCACTACTAGCTTATCGAGGTAAAGGAGTGTGCCGGCCGGGGATCGAACCCCGGACCATGTGCATGGTCGGGGAGCGTCCTAACCGCTGTGCCACCGACACATAAAGCGTTATCCACTAGACCACTCGGGTCACAAAGTGAATGGGGCACCTGGACTATAGTATAGTGAAATTGTAGTGCCTAGTTCAACAATTCCAGGCGAGCTACAATGGCGTAGATGCTAAACAAAAAAATTGTTATCAAGGTGTTGGGTTACACAACTCGTCATTGCATTAATTGAAAATCTCTGACCAGGGCTTCCTGTGGTCGATTGCCTTCGGCCATCTAATATTAACCATTCAAAGTGCACAACTGATGGCAAGCCACCAAGTGGTATGGTGACCACACTTCAAACTTGACTGATAGAATTCAGTCTGCACCAAAGAGAGGACTAGACACATCACACTATTTACTAGTGTCAAATCAAAATATCCACTACAGTCCTACAGGAGGTCAGTGGTAAAGCCTCTGACTGCAGCACTGGGTGACGCGAGTTCGAATCTCAGAAGGCACATGAGTTCCTCCGAGGTTGCAGATACGCCCTGATGACGAGTGCCAACTAGCATGAAACCTAGATCCAAGGCTTCCTGCAGATTACTTCCAACCATCTAATATCATTAAATCAGTGTATACCGTGATGGCAATCTACTTGGAATGGTGGTCACACTTCAAACTTGACTGATAAGATTCAGTCTGCAACAACACACAATACTAGTTACCAACTAATATCCCATACAGTTCTGCAGGAGGTCAGTCGCTAGCCCGAATAGGTCAGTGGGTGACACGGGTCCGAATCTCAGGGGGATATGAGTTCATTCAACGTGGTTGCAGATACACCTTTCTGACGCGTGCCCACTATCCCGAAACCTAGGTTCAAGGCTTTCTGTGGCTGACTGCCTCCAACCGTCCTGTGGTATTGTGATGGCACAAAGTGTAGACCAGAAAAGCGGCTCTTATGTAACAAAATTTTGTCGAATAGGAAAAACACCAGGATGATTTGGCAAGAAAGAGACAGAGGTGGTCTACAGTCAATCAGTGACAAAATTTCAATGGAACAGCTATGTTGTAATATCACCACTATTAATTAAAGATTCACTGGAATAACACCATTATGGATAAGATTTTTTATGCTCTACCACAGTCCCCAAGTTTTATACTTATATCACTGAAATAACAGGCTTCTAAAAATTCTATGGCGTTCTTGGTGTCGCCTCTTACTAATATTTGAACGTTTTCCCAGTCGAATTGATGTCCGTGGTTGTCTGTATGCAGTGAGGCTATATAAGGGAGTGGATGTCATGCCATCTGACGGATAGTTTATCATAATGGATACAAAGATGAAGTGGACGTACACTTTGGCCAATGTAGTTTTTTTCGTAGATAATGTTGGCTTTAACTTCTTTTGCTGTTGACTGGAGTGATTTTGTTGGCGTCCATATGATTATTTGTAATCATGAGAACCATCATTCAGTTCAAGTTTCAGCTAGCTTAGACATTCGTAACTAAAACAGCGAGTGTTCTTGTAGTTTATGTATAAAACACTGACTGCCAGTCATCTCTAATTTTCAAGTGATTATCTATAATGGAGTTCAACTCTACCATAGTGCCCAGGTTTTATAATTATATCAATAATACATAGCGACTAGTTATGAAAAAAAGTACCGATTGCATTTTGATGTATACTAATTTAAGCTAGGCATTTTAATGCAGAATATACACTGTCTGTAGGCTCTCACAAGAAAAATCTGGGTACAGTTGTACTCAAGGGAAAGAAGGGCGACAGTGAGATGTCTTATAGTGTCAAATATAAGATTGAGTGACGCACGTATGCGTCGATTTGCTCAGGAATCGTGTTCACATCTCATGTTCGCAATTAACAGTTGCTTTGCAAATATGAAGAACAACGTTCTGTTGGAATATTTGAGGCACTGGACTATGCTGCATACTAGTTGGTCTAAAAGTTAACCACAATTGAGTGAAATTTAGTTGTCACTAATGTAAATGTAAACTTAACAGAATATAGACACCAAGGTATGAGAACAAATAAGACAGAAATAAAATAGTTTGAAGGCAATAGAATGAAAACAAAATTATTTGAAGTGATCTTTACTTCACGTTACTTTCAGAAAGAGAAAAAAGAAAACTGTAGCCTCCTCGACAGCGATTTTAATTTTCCCCTGCATCTGATAACATTTCGTGAATTGCCACGAAATACCTCATTCCACTTAGGGAACTGTGAAGCAATAATACACTCAAATCCAACATAATATATACCTCATCACATAGTACCACTTTAAGAGTTGACAATTAATCTGCTTCGTCCAACCAAGACAGAGCATGCAAACGCTGAGGTGTATGGGGACCAGTAGGATGACATTAGTGTTACATTCCGAAACCAGAATTCCAAAATAACTCCGAGTGCTAAGAAATGCACTTCAGAATTACTTACATGCTTGAAAACAATTCTACGGAGTATGCCAGTCTTTTGCTAAACAACTGAATTTTCACACATCACAATTCGATCGGCACCCATGCAGTTAATCGTATACAAAAAGTTTTGGACTAGTTAAAAGAGGTCACCACTGATAATGAGGGGGGGGGATATATGCTCTTGACAATTACGTAAAACAAATGTACACTTAGAAGGTGCAAAGCACGTACCATACAGACATCGACATTGATGATAGGTATAAAATCAAAGTCCACAACAGTTAGGAGAAAACGAAAATGACTGCTGAGTCCTTACCTAGAAAAAGATAACCCCAGCAGATATCCACTACAAATCAATTGGGTGTAGTAACATGAAATTCAGATATCACAAATATCGTTACTAATAAAACCAGAGAACAAAATCTTCGAGAACACTTACATCAAATTGCCCGGAGTTTTCAATAATTGTACCTTTATCAAACGCTATTAAGAGTTTCTAAGGACAGGAAAGATTGAGTAGAGGAAGAGATGGAAATCATGAGCGAAGATTTTGCTTCTTAGTTACCAACCGATAGTAGTGAATAAACGAATTTGTGATAGATATCTAGACCCCTCGAGTGCTGATGCAGCACAAACACCTAGAATTTCAATTGATAAGACGAATGTAGTCGTAGGAAAAAAATTAATGAAATTTTAGAAGACTAGCAAGTGTGTTATACATTTGGTGGGATTGTCCAAACCCGCCATAAGTGACGTTAGGCGGCCCGCAAAGACGTCAGAGCAGACATCGTATACACTTCGAAAGGTCCCCTGCAGTCAATACAATACTCCTCATAGACAAACGTGGACCCGACGTTTCTGTAGTGCATCCAATGATTTTGCTGGCTGGGAAGCCTTCACTTTACCCCAAATAATAAATTTCGGAGTATTCAAGTGTAAATAAACCTCGAAAATTCCGTGAAAACGCCATAAAAATTAGCATTTTCTCCAAAATTTCCTAAATTACCCCAGTTGTATTTAAAACATCCTAAATCTAGGCATCACCGAAATTCGGGTAAATTTTCCCAATAATCTTGCTTTCCTTATTCGTAGCTATCCCTCTGCATTTAAAATACAACTTTCCCAGTCATCAATTTCATGTATGTTAGAAGCCCACAAATGTGTACCAGTTTCCGTAGCACAGCGCAACCAACTGTATGACGCGCCTTAACTACTCTATAATAAAATTTCGGGGATGAAGCAAAATCTAGTGTCTGTTCTTAGAAATAAGGAGAGCAGATGTAAATACTCCTGAAACGGATTTAATCGACTGGTTATCTTATCTAATGGTAGATTCATTTGAGATGATTCAGTAACTCCTGAAGGTGTTCAGTGCAACACCTACTACCACTAGCTATCCATCGTTGATAACTATATGGGATGGTAAATGGTTCATCTGCTCCCATATTTCAAGTCCTCCTGATGACGTATTACCCTAAGAAAGTAAAAATACTAAATACGAGATTCTATACACCAAAATAACACATTATTATGGAAAAAAAATGTGCACTTTTGTGCTGGCTTTTTCAGTGGATAGTAACGTCTTGTTACCTTCTCAGAACCCACCATATGCATTTATTCAAATTTGTTTAATCCTGCTCTGTATGTAATGCCCCATTTCACAGATGATGCGGAGAAAAATATGATAGTGGGTGTAAGTACAAACTTAGGCACTGTGGTAGAGCATAACTCTATTATGGATAAGATTTTATTTTGATAAATCACACAGTGTTGTACAGTTATATTAAATTGTCAGTTAATATAACTGTACAACACTGTGTGATTTATCAAAATAAACTCTTATCCATAATGGAGTTATGATAGTGGGTATAGTAATTAAATGCTAGCCACTAATCAATTTTCTCTTATCTAAAACCACACCATGAACAGAATACTAGGCAAGAGAGACTAAAACTGCGAGAATAAAAGTTCAATTCAGATAGTTGAAGCAGGTTTCAGCTACTGATCTTATCGAGTTATTCAGATTAGTTATTCATATTCGAAGGAACAGCCTCACATAAAAACATGATCAACTAGGAATGCTTTTAGAATACGAAATGCCTCAACCTCAGCAGCAATAGAATGCACTATTGTCTTCAAATTATGACAACCTGCAGAACTTCATTCACAGTTTTTCTCTTAAAAACGGCAACAATATTATCTTTTAAGCCACATAGATGTTATGTGAAAAGCACTTTATCCTCACAAGCATTACCGATCATCACTATAGGTTTTGATTATCTCGGAATAAAGTATACTTAGTATTCCCAATGTCTTAGTAACAGTTTTTGTTATATGCCCCTTATTGCCTATAGGCCTTATGTACAAACAATTTATTATTCTGATTGTCTCTCAACCAGAGCTTGTGCTGCACAAATAATGGCTATCCGCCAACTCGACAACATAACAACCAATCAAGTTCAACTCCAGTTAGTTAGATATATTCGTTAGGAAGCCTTGGATTTAGATTTCATGCTTACTCGAAGCCTTGGATGAATCCACGCTCTCTTAGAAATATGAAAGTTTGCCACCCGGTCCCGCCATCACAAATGTAACCACTAAGCCATTTCGTTCCGTGAGTGTTCACTAGAGATAAACCAAGAAATTTCATTTCAGCGAGCATCCTAATTATGAGTCAGTTAGCCTGATGGTCACGCTGCGAACTTGCCCGAGAACCTTAGGTCAGCTAAAACGCAAGGACTAGAGAAATGGCAGTGGTTATTCTTTGGTGAACAACCAGAGCAGACAACCACACTTTGCCATTTTGACAAAAACACTTATTACTCGACATATTTTGCCTCACGAGGATTACTGATACTGCAATTTTAGAATTATCTGTCGCCTCCCCATCGAATATGCACTCGCTTATGCGCTTTCTCAACTATCTGTTCTGCTTGAAGATACTTCCCAAGAAATTTTAGGATATTTACCACCATTTACCAGTGTGCGTGTGAATATGAAGTTATGAAAATCCCCAGATTGGTTTTTTGTCTGCTAAGAGAGGCCTGAAATGTAGGATGAAGAAAAAGGGAAAATTGCGCAAACATACACGTAATATCTTCACGGTTCGACGACAACAACTAGATGATTAGTAAACTCTATCCCAGGCTACCAGATCAATCCTCCAACTCTGACGTCTTCAAAACATGCGAATCCAACTTCAGTGACCCCACAGAAGCCAGAACGATTCTCATTGGGATATTCCTTAGCACTCTCCAGCGCAAACAGTCACAGTCGCCACCTGCCACCTATTCCTCCTGGGGCTGGACAGTGGTCACACTTACAAGTAAGCCCGTACCTCGTAGACGTGACAGAGCACAAACTTCGACAGGAACATGCTTACACTTTCAATAGACACACAACAACTAGTATTTGAAAAATCAAACTTTCTGACAAATAATTTCCACTAAAACTAACACTCAAGATACGTGGTTTGGTGAACAGACTCTCTTCAGCCAATCTATTGTGAGTTGTTACAAAATATTTGGTATTATAATTGTAATTCAACATCAAGCAACGGAGGATCAGTTACGTACTTTAGGAGGATAGTTTATGATAAGCCCAAATTTTGAGAGGATTTGCAGAAATAGCAGTATTATTAGGCACTTGAAACATTGCACGACAAGGTGAGAATCATAGAAATACAACTTTGCAAAAAGCTTTAATAGACTGAATAGATGAATGTGACAAGTGAAGTAATACCAGGAATTATTCAGAGCCAAAAGTAGTGAAAATAGACACTATGGGAAGTGAAAATGTGTAATAAATTAACTGAAGGAAAACTCAACAAGACAGAGCTAGTAATGGTAATCGCAATGATATACCTCATGCATATTAGGACCGTATAGAACAGGTGGCTGAAAAGGGTTTTTCTGCATACATAGTTCTGCTTTTTCTGTTAATATATACCAATGATTCAACGATAAAAAGTACTCCACGGGGGATGATGATTGGCTCAGTTTATTTTTCACCTTGTGAATAACTCTGAAACAGAAGGCTGCCAATGTGAGGCTATCAGTATCGACCAGATGTTCATCTGTTGATCTACTTGTAGTATTGCTTCCGCCTTGTCAAGAAGGGGTAGCGTTATTACATAGCTCTTAACAAAATTGGCGTTGAACGGCCGATTTACCATAGGAACACCTGGACTGACAGGCGCTCACAGAGTTGGTCATTTGCCGGATAAACTCTTCCAGACTATTAATCGGTGATGTGCATCTGAAGAAACTTTTCTCAGCGAAGCTGCGAGTTCATATTTAAAGGATCCTGACAACAGAGTCACATTCGTATTGAGGGTTTTTTGTGTCAGTGTTGTCGGATATAGACATTAAATAACATTTCACGGGTTTCATTTGCATATTTTGGCCTGCTGAAAGTGACGAATACTCATTTTCTGTCATCTCGAAAGATTTAGGTTTTCAAGCACTTCATCGTGACTACATATTGACCGAATACTAGTATTGAGTGGCTGAACCAAGTCTGGTCACTCACAATAGGGTATCTATCTCTGGAAATTTGTCACTGCATAAAGGGCTTTTTATAAGCTCATCTCTTCAGAGCTTTGACAATAGTTGATATTACTGTACAGTAGTGTACTGCACTCAAAAGGTAATGTTACTGTACGACGCTGTGTGATTAATCAAGTAAAATCATACCCATAACGGAGTTCTGTCAATAGTGCCTTCCAATTTCACATGAAGAAAATGAATGTCAGACTTGTTTGACATCTCAAGTATGCATTCTCCCACTGTATTACAGTCATTAGATGTACCTTATATTATAGTCATCCCATAATAATAAACGCAAATGATAAAATAACCATCAACATTCCTTTCACCCCTGGGGTTTTGATTTCAGTCGAATGTTTTCTGGACTGGTGGCGGGCAGGACGACTGAAGACGCCATGAGCATACGGCATGACTTACCACCTGAAAAAAGCAATGCAGTGATATTACTCACCTGTAGGCTGCAGGATGCAAGTTACACCCTGTGCAATGAAAGCTTGTCCTGCACAACGTCGGAGCGCGACCTAGGCCTAATTCTAACGGAAAAATGGACACAAGCGTAAGTTACACGGGGGACGTAGTGAGGGCATATGCAGTCAAACACTTTACTCATAGACGGTAAGGTGCACTCAACCCTGAGCTATTTATAAGGTTTCAAAAGTTATACGTCAGACCACACCTTCAAGTGCATAGTATCATTGCATCCCCATAACTTAGAAGAGACATCAACCTCTTCGTAAGAGTCCAGAGACGGGCAACAAAAGGAGTGGTTGTTTTCCGAAATAAACCACATTGTGAAAGGCTAAAGAAATCAGGCCTATTCAAACTTAGCTACCGTAGGCTGAGGGGAGATTTGAATAATGCTTACAAGATAACAAATGACCATAACCACACGAATAACTGTCCTGCGATTGAGTGGGCATAGCTTTCATCGTGGAAATCCAGAGGGCAGGGACCCCGGGTACGCTCCCACTTCTTTTCACTGCGTGTTTGCCGTCCCTGGAACTCCTTATCGGCAGATGTAGCCATGGCGCCGTCTGTGGTCACCTTTAAGCGAAGCCTCGGCAATTATGCAGCGACACAAGTGCTGCGTCCAAATGGCTAGTCTCCTAAAAATCCCATACACCATTCATGGAAAGACAACGAAATCCGTCGTTTAACTTCTTTACATTCTCTCTCATTTTACTCTCTTGACAACTCCAACTATTACAGCCAATAATATTACTGATAGTATAAATGTATATCAACTATAAATTTATTTAGCTATCTGTTTTTACTTTTTCTTTATTCCTTTATCTGTCTTTTAGTCTGAACAACCTACACTAATTATATGTCATTTTTATCATCTCTTTTCTTTTGTTAAAGATACCAGAGGACCAACTGGTGAAAGGATCAACTCCATTCAAAGTAGTATCGAAGTCTCGACACACCGCATACTGCAAACAACATATAATTAATCCCAGGACTACTCCTTTGGAAGTCACCCAAAACTACGATAGTCGAATGGCAGGATGAACTACTCAGGTGTTTACCGAAGATCAGGAACCTTCACTTCAAAATCAAGAAGCGAGAACAAAGAAATTAAAATGATTTATATCAGGGCGGAGGATTGATATTGGATATTGGACGAGTACACGGGCGCTTAATATAAATTTAACAGTAGGTCGATTGTAAGACCAATAGGAAGCGAACTAGCGAACAGCCAATCAAAACCTGCTTATATTGATTTTCGTTTTGTAAGTATTGTTTTTAGGTTGCTGCATGTTATTATTAGCCATATTATAACTGATTCAAATTCCATTTTTGTTTGATACTGCGTCCTAACATTGAGATTTAAATCTGGGGATAACCAATCACGTTTGTAGTTGTGCCTCCTCATGACAGGATATACCCCATCTAGCAGTCACTTCGGGCGCAGTGCAGATGGTTTAGGGTAGACTGCAGATTACTGTCTCACACGAGGTTGTTCTCCCCGAGAATTTTGCAGTGCGACGGAAGAAAATGTTAGTTGAGATGCGTCATGACCCAATACTGCAGTATTGCGGTGTAGTATTAAATGCGTATTCTTTGTATAGAAATCTAGTAGGTACTTATTTGATGTGGATGGTACTTAAAAATTGTGGTGGACGATTACCTAATGCTGAATTGGGGTTGAGACCTCTGTAATTGTCGGAAATAATACCTATAGGCCCTGAACTAAAGAAGACAATGACGGGAAATGACATTAATTGCTAAATTAGTGGGAAAAGGCACAAGGTGCCAGTTTGACAGCGGTTTCAAGAAAATCTTCAGCAGTATTGTAGGCGCTGTTCTAAATAGAAATAACTGCAATATTATGTGAAGATTTTATGAGCGGTTCTTGACTTTTGTTAGATGTTTGGACACTATCTTGTTTTTTTTTTCTGAGTATGTAGTGTTCTAGGCAAAATGGTTATACGACTAACAGTTACTCCAGCCATGGCATTCATTCCAACTTTCGTAAGTGATGACTGGTGCTGACGCAGATGCATTCACACTTACTTTGTGGTTGATCAGATACAACAAAACTCTGTTGTTGTTCTTCCATATTAGTATTCGTTTAGGTACACTCTCACTTGTGTTTGTTATCTGTGTGTGTTTGTGTTTTGAATCACTCTCTACTCTTTTGGTTTGTGTGGTAGATGGGGAGGGGGTTAGGGGAGTTTGGCAACTCGAACCGGTGCATATATGTGCAGTATATAATGTTGGATCCAGTCAGCCAGTCATATAGGCGTCGGAAACTGTCGGTTTTAACAATAATTGCTCACTGAAAGTGAACTTTATGCATATAACTGTCGGATATTTGTAACCTAAAGTTTTTCTGCTATCTGCTTTTTCTTAATAGGTAGTTAAGAATTCGTAGTCCTAATACGCCATATCATAATTTGTCTAGTGATCGGGTCAGTGGCAAAACGCATGACGGTAATTTGTTGACTACGCTTCACTTGTGCTTATTGCTTACAAATAGAATCAACAAACAGATTCTGAAGATATAATTGAAGAGAGAGTAATCAATGAAGAGTATAAGATATGGAAAAGAAATACACCCTTCTTATACGATATGCTGATGTCACATTGTCTAGAATGGCCAAGTTTAACTGCTCAATGGTTACCATCTGTAGAAAAGTATGTGGTTTTTGTTTTCGCTTCTCCTTCACAAATACATTTGTTTTAAAGGACTGGAAGGGATTATTCCGTTCACCATTTAATACTTGGCACTCACACGTCAGATGAACAAAATCACTTACTGATAGTTACAGTTCACCTGCCAAATGATCAAGCAGAATTCGATGCAAGTGCTTATGATAATCAGCGGGGTGATTTTGGTGGATTTTATTTTCCATCTGGAAAGTTGGAAATATCAATGGAAATCAACCATGAAGGAGAGGTGAATCGTGCTCGGTTCATGCCACAAAACCCAGATATAATAGCTACTAAAACACCAAGTGGAGATGTTTTAATATTTAATTATCCGAATCATCCTCCGAGTTCACCAATGGAGCAAGGTTGTCGACCAGATTTACGTCTTACGGTAAGATGAGATACGGTTGTGCCTTTTTTGTGTTTGTGTGTGTGAATGTTTGATGTCAATTATTTATTTTTTTGTTTTTTGACTACTAGTTTCCACAAAACGTCAAATATTTATAACAGGACATATAAGCGAACAATATTATTGTCTTCGATTAGATCTTCAGACTTTAGTTTATACAGATATGTATATATAGAAAATGTAACCAATGACGGTGAGTTTGTGGATCAAATAATAATGATAATAAGTGTTATCTATCGCACTCCACAGAACCTTTCGAACGGAATTCGAACCTGTCTTTTAAACACAGCTGAAGTTATGGGGATTAATTCGACAGAACAATCCTAGTGTCTTTGCATACAACAAAAGAAGTTTGTTCTACCTTTGTCTCTTCCTTAGCCTAAGTAAAGTCTAATGAAAAATAACCTCCTCCCACCCTTTCTTATTTCCCATTGCCTTTTTGTTTTTGTTATTTATTCAACCTCTGATCATCTGTCCACTTCACCTTCTACGTTACTTTTGAAATTTGACCTAATTTATTTATTCATTCATTTAATCGTTAACATATACACGCGCATTACTACCTTCGTTGTTCTTATCGCCACGTGCATAAACCCTAATTATGATTATTATTGTTATCGTTATAATCATAGTTAGTGTCTGACGTTCAAAACGCTCAACACATTATTATTTGATCCAAAAATGCACTGTCATTGGTTAAACTTTGCTTGTGTATAAATCTATGTAGTGCGTAGCGGTTAGGACGCTCCCCGACCGTGCGCATGGTCCGCGGTTCGATCACCGGCCGACGCATTCCTTTACCTCGCTAAGCCAGTAGTGGGACTGGTAAAGGAGAAAGGTTGGGCATGAGGCTAGCAACCCCATCCTATAAAATAAACACTACTACAGTAACTTCAAGCCACTAGCTTGAAGCCCTATTTTCCACTGGGAATGTGAAGGAAAAAAACATTATTGTTCACTTATATATCTTGTTCTTATACTAAAAATGGGAATATTTAAAGTATTTGCAATCTCTTATTAATATATATTATCACGACTTTATCATTATTATCCGTGCATCTGAAAGTGTAATATTCTGATGCATGAGTATTTTCTTAATGTCTAATTCTTTTTCATGGGGTATATAAAGTTGTAGACATATATATATATATATATATATATATATATATATATATATATATAATTTATATATTTATTTAAACGCAGAAAAAAAACTTGGTACAATATGGCACTAAGAAAGATGCCCCACACAATATTAATAATAAAACAACATAGAAAAAAAGTAAAAAAAAAATAAGTAGAGAACGGATAAAGGACTTCATCTGGAAGGAAAACGGTCATGCTTAACAAGTTCAAACAGTATTCGTTAACTATCATCGGGAAGGGAAGAAAGAAAGAAATTGCAACATGTTCGCCACTGATTACGATTCTTGACCATATCCGATAACGTTTCAAGCCATCGATTCGAGCTATCTCGCGGACCCCAACCAGGGAGTCGTGACGCACCAACCGATGCTAATCTAGCACGAACATCCTTCATCCCACGACGCCATATCATGGATTGACCACCCCTTCGCCTTTTCCACCCCGTCCCAGGGCTGGCCAGCGAACAGAGACACCTGTACGGAAGCCTCTGGGGTGACATTCGCAGTACATGTCCAAGCCACCGAAGGCGGTGTTTCCAGATGACGACGACACTCAATGAATGGTGATCTCCATTGTGTTCAAAAACACGCCGCCGAACCTCAGAATTACTCATGCGGTGATGCCATCCATCGAACACAAGAAATCCTGCGGAGACAGCGGTGATCGAACGCGCAGAGTCACCGCACATCCTCGACTTACTCGGAGAGGCCAGGTTTCACAGGCGTAGAGCAGCGCAGCCCGCACCGAAGCATTGTATACCCGACCTTTGACAGTCAGGCTAACGTCGCGACGGCGCCAGAGGTGGCTGAAGTTGATGTATTATGCCACCCTAGCCTTCATTATATATATATATATATATATATATATATATATATATATATATATATATATATATATATATATATATATATATATATATATATATATATATATATATATATATATATATATATAATATTCTATGAGATAAGGCCTGAATAGTGTAGCATGTATTCCCATGTAGGTGTTTGATCTGAAACTCCTGGCAAATTTATTTTTGGAAACATTTATTTCCCGATACAAGCAGCAAAGATTAGTAAAGTTGGATTGAATGAATTCATAGAATTTCGGTAGAACTCCCGCTCAGCTGAATGCTACTCGACATACAGGGACTATTCGAAATACATCAGGAGATGCACAGCTGATAAGCAAATAAACTACATTGAATTAATCATGCAAAACGACACGCGTGTGAACCTTTTTCAGGTCTTCAAATATATAAGTGGAGGAAGGGTGTATGGCAGATTAAAATTAAGATAAAATGCACTACGCTTCAATTACTTATCATTTAGATAAACAATTAGTCATTAGAGAATATAACAAGAATTGCAAACAAATCAATATCACTAGTAGTAGTTATAATAATAACAATAATAATAGTAATAATGTTGGAGTTAAGATAATGCTACCGATAAAGGATAATTTTAAATGAATCGAGAATAATAACTAATAATAATAAGAGGTAGAATAATAAGTAAAACTTATCATGGTAGATTCAGAGTGACGACCATCTCCTTTTGTACACAAAGACCTGGTTTATAAACTCGAATTGCACAAACCTCTGCGATTGCAATCATCCTCCAATTTCTCTGTCTGCTGACGATAGTAAGTGACTTGACAGCGTCGATATCATGTCCATAGTCCACAAGATGTTTTGTTATTGAGGTTTATTTTGCCACTTTTCATTCAGCTGTTTTCAACCATTTTAGAAAATGCCTCCATCATGCGAGTAGACAATCGCCTTTCTGTACGACCTATGTATTTGCTGCCACAAACACTAAAATTGATATACGCAGTTTGAAGTGTCCAGGATTGGCGACTGGTCTTTCCCAGAATGTTAAAGCACTGGCCTAAGGAAAATCCACAACATTTAGTTTAAGCCAGTCTGCCTACCAGCCACTTAGTCACATAGGGAGGAGGCGTAGACTGTCTGACTCACTGACCGCCTGGTTGGAGTCCTCGGGATGATGGAAACCAGTGAGAGTGGCTGGAGATAATTGGTGATATGGCTGGTTGGTGCTGACGCAGATGCATTCACACTTACTTTGTGGTTGATCAGATACAACAAAACTCTGTTGTTGTTCTTCCATATTAGTATTCGTTTAGGTACACTCTCACTTGTGTTTGTTATCTGTGTGTGTTTGTGTTTTGAATCACTCTCTACTCTTTTGGTTTGTGTGGTAGATGGGGAGGGGGTTAGGGGAGTTTGGCAACTCGAACCGGTGCATATATGTGCAGTATGTAATGTTGGAACCAGCCAGTTCACTCGACGTGTGATATTTCTAAAAATGTCTTCTGGAGTTATTTTTAACTCTTGTTATTTTTAACTTAGTTGGTGAAGTGTCTTGTGATGTCCGATTTTTATTTTAAAGAGCACTAACTATTTTTCTTATCTGTCGGATACAGTGTGGATTGATAAAGTATCCTTTTAGGGAAATGTTTCGTATGATGTTGATACTGATAAAACCATCAAGATTCTTCGTAGAATTTTTCAGGAGTACCGAAATCAGCATTGAGTATTTTCTGTAATTGTTTTCGTTCTGTTCAAGGTGCACGATGTGATGACTTTCTTATTTTTAGTGGTAAATCTGACCGTGCACCAAACAATGATGCTACTTTATTTCGGATGTGGGTGGGTGGAGGTATCACAGACAGACAGAAACTAATCTGCTACTACGAGGTGCCATCGACAATTATACATCTCATCCAACAGTTATACGACAATGCTGCATACGACAAGTAATCCACAACGGGAAACTTACGGAATCCTTCGAAGTGAGGACGGGAATAAGACAAGGCTGGGTGCCTAGTAACTTCAATGATCTTCCTGATTGCAGTAGATTGGATAATGCGACAAACAGCGGCGAGCAGCGAGGAAACAGGCATAAAATGGACTCACACGAAAAAACTTGGAGGATCTGGACTTCGCCCGCGATGATATATGTCTGATTTCCCACAAACTCGAAGATACGCAAGTGAAAAGCAACAAGCTGGCAGAAGAAGCATCAAAGATAGGACTTCAGGTGAACATAGAGAAGACAGAGGTAGTTGATGAAGATTCATCGCCAACACTAACAGCAAAAACAACATACAACAATCAGCCGGCATAAATAGGAGGAACCTGAAAGAAACAACCTCCTTCACCTACCCACCTACCTGGGAAGCATCGTTTCAACTACAGGCGGATGGGACTGACGAGTATATCAAAGCCAGAATCGGGAAAGCAAGACAAGCTTTCACTACTCTCAAGTCTCACACCTCTGCTCACTGTTTCTATTATGCTTTTCTTGTACTTTCTTCTCTTGCTTCGCGTGCTACACGGAATGTGGCGACTTGAACTTCCGCACATTTGTGCAAAGTTCTATGTCGAAAACAGACAGACAGACAAGTCTGTGTGGAGGTCAACAGCACCCAGCATGAAAATGAAAATAAGATCCGGATTTTCAACTCCAATGTGAAGTCAATCAGTGCTACACACCATACGGATCAGAAACTTCGGCAATGCATCATAAAGAGCATCTCAAACAAACTACAGACCTTCATCAACAGCTAGCTGTCTTCGCTCAATACTCCGTTCAAGATCAGATGGCCGGTCAGAAAAGATCAGGAACAGGCAGGGATCTCTGGCAATGAGCGAACCAACCCAGCAGGAACCGATTGTGCAACAAATAAGCAGGAAGAATTCGAGATGGATTGGCCATACTCTGAGGTTACAAACCCTCACGTGAGTGACATCACTAGACAAGCCATTGCTCGAGTGGAACCCGAAAGGGAAGCGGGTGGCGAGTTGGTCGTCAGTGCGAGAGTGGGGTGACTTGGAGGAGGTCATGTAAAGAGGAGATGAAAGCATGTGGGAAGACTTGGAGAGGGATGAAAACGCTGGCAGAGAACCGAACGCAATGAAGACGCGTGGCTGAAGCCCTATGCTCCTCTAGGAATTAAAGGAAATAATAATATAATGCAAACCGACAAATGTCTTCCCATGGTACCCCACCCAGTTAAAAATTCATTAAATCGGAGAATATTCTCAACTGATCAGTAATAGTTGGTCATAGTGTCGTGTCTGGAGACGGCGCATTCTAACCAAGATAGACGACGACAGCTACACAAATCATCAATCAATCATACTCCCGTACAACACAAATGAATTCACAAAATTCAGGAGAATTCATGGGTTGATTACACTCTGTCTATACGTGATAATTTATGTCAAATCTGAATGGCATCAAATCAGATCACTATTCTAGGAATCTTGACTTAAGAAAAAGTTGATATTATTATAAGAGGGAATGTTCATCATTATAAATAGACTACATTTCCGAAAGGTCAACATAGAGAAAAGAGGGAGGTGAGATGAAGATAACCAATCACCATCGCCAGCAAGCATCAGCAACAACAACAACAACAACCGGCATCGATAATCACTACTAACAGGAGAGATTAAACAGAGGTTACTTCCGCCACTAATCACTACCTTGGAAGCATAGTTTCAACCACAGAAAGTTGAAACCACCTATGAAGATGTCAAAGGCAGCCAGCCAGCCAGAATCGAAAAGGCTAGATACACCATCATCAACCGGAAACCAGTTCGGAAATCTTCTGCAGTCCGCTTTAGCATAAAGAAGAACGTTCGGATTTTCAACACAAATATCAGTGAAGTCAGTCAGTCAGTCACCTTTTCTATACGGGTGAGAAACTTGCACTGCGCGTGCATCACGTAAAGCATTTCCAACAGGTCACTCTACAGACTTTTACCAACTGCTACCAACTTAGCTAACTAGCTAGCTGACTGGTTGGCTCCATACTGAAGGTCAAATAGCCAGACGGCCAGCCGTAAACTGTGTCTGGCAATGAACAAACCAACCAAGAGCTGCCGATCGCTCAACAAATATGTAGGGGAAAATGGAGATGAATTAACTGGGCATACTCTGAGGAGGAGGCCGTTGAATGATACGCTATCGCTTGAGTGGAATCCCAGTTTGGGAAGTGACGAGTGGGGTTGGTCGGTGCTATTGTGGAATGGAGGAGGAGATATGACATTACGGGAAGTCGTGAGGCTAGCCAGTTGAAGAAGACAGCTTTAAATAGAAGAAAGTGGAGATGTGTTATTCCACTGGGAACAACCCAAGGGAATAATAGTAAATTTCTGTATGGGGATTATTCATGCATTGTTTTAAATTCTTTCCTTTCGTTAAACTGAATGCTTGTAATATCGCTTATTACCTAGAGGGGTCACGTCTTTTCAACATTTTAGGGTCATCATAAAGAAGGTTATGGATTGTCGTGGAATGTATTACTCAGTGGTCATCTTCTTTCAGCCTCTGATGATCAGACAATATGCTTGTGGGATATTAATGCAGCACCGTTGGACGGTTGTAACCTGAACGCCATGGCTATCTTTACAGGACATCATTCAGTTGTAGAAGATGTTTCATGGCATCTTTTTCATGGAAATATTTTCGGTTCAGTAGCTGATGACAATAAACTTATGATTTGGGATACACGTAGCTCGAATCGTAGTAAACCACAACATCAAGTTGATGCGCATACAGCCGAAGTGAACTGTCTGGCTTTTAATCCATTCTCTGAGTTTATTATTGCAACAGGCAGTGCGGACAAGGTATGTAACTGATTTCTACAACACAATATTTTATTTGGTAAAGTATATATATATATATATATATATATATATATATATATTTCATAAACTTCATTTTGCGATTTCCACCTCATGACCTGTATCAAGAAGATGCCTGGTAATGACACTTGTAAGCAATTTTGTTCCCTTGAGAAGCTTTTGGAAATGACGCTCAGGAAGGCTTCGTGTGCTTTTCGAAATGTGTGGACGGTTGTTACTTCCCGGCTGCTCCCGCACCACCCTGGAATTTGATGGATTCTTTGGGTACCTGAAACAGAAAGTGTTGCGTGACCTCAGAGCCCAGCGGACAACTGCTCGAGGCAGGCCGGTCACACACGGCCTGTATGAACTAGTTCCTTACCACCGGTTACGGACCATCGTAGGTGGGGTGAGTCGGGGTGTACAATTTTTGGGGTTGACCTTTTCTAACTCCCTCTCTCCAGAGTGGAGAGACAGCCTAGCTGGCTGGCATGCCGGTCATCTGAGGGGAACACCTCACTGCTGTTACACCCCTATTCCCCAGCAGTACGACTTCGCCCACAGACCCCCAGCATAGTGGAAGAAAGATTTTTACACAATGCTGGTAACTGTTTTTAGTCTAATCGCTATCCTAACAACCTTCCTGGCATGGTAGGACCTGCAGGAATATTGGTTCCAGCCAGTGCAGCTTGTTGGGTCATCGCGATGTGCAAGCTCGACCACCACGTCAAGGTAGCAGCTATTGGTCAGGACCCTTCAGAAACAGGCTTTTTGGCACATGTTCAGAAAATCGGAAGTATGCCCTTCTCCTTTTTTCTCTTCTCCCAGTGTGACTGCTCCAGTAAATACACGTAAATTTGTATACACAGTTGGAGTCTTTAACACGAGAGAGGTGGATATCTGTCGACTTTTGACTGCACCAAGGACCATGTTGTCCGATAGACGGGAACCAACTTAGCTAGCTGCAGGATGGACTATAGATAGTAACATATTCCTGCAATATTTTCAGCTTTAAAATCGAGTTGAATGAAGACAGGCTTTTTCCCTACTGTGACCTTCGAGCCTTCACATCTTCCCCTATTTGTTGATGAATGTGTAAGGATAACCGTTATTTCTCAACATCCTTTCGAGTATCATTCATAAATTCTTCCTCTAATTTCTCTGCAGAGCTTATTCTCCTAGCTCTAGTGCTGCTCGTTTACAGTTAGCTGTTTGTACAAAAACTATTAGACATGAAGATATTGTCCATTCGATATCGGCTTTGGATAGATTGAAATCTGTGGAGACTACCATCTTCTAGGCGTTGTATGACAACGTCGTGAAAATGGAACTTTCCATCATTTTTATTTCATGTTCCATAGAAAATTCATTATTTGTATGTGCGTCGGATTTTCAATACAAACGTCAAGTCAGTTCTTCTATACGAATGAGAAACTAGGCGGGTCACAAAGAATGTTTCCAACAGGCTATTGCAGACCTTTATCAACAACTAACTGTCTTCGCTCTATGCTGAGGATCAGATGGCCGAGCCGGAAAGAATCACCAACAAGAAACTGTGGGGATAGACAAAACAAGAACCAATCGTCAACCAACAAATATGCAGGAGAAAGTGGATTGAGATGGTTTGGACACTCGCTGATGAGGCCGCCGCTGGGTGACATCGCGCGCGCGTCAGGCCATTGCTCGAGTAAAACCCGAAAGGGAAGCACGCGGCGAGTGGGACGTTAGTGCAAGGGTGATATGTAGGAGATCGTGTGAAAAGGAGCTGAAAGAGTATGGACTAAGATGGATGCAGGTGAAAAGTAGAGCAGAAGTTAGAAGCAAGTGGAGATGTGCAGTTGAAGCCGTATGTTCCACTAGGAACTCAAGGGAACATTAATAAGAATGATAATGCCAGTAGGTAGGAAGCGTGATTTTCATTGTTGTATACCACAAATGTATCATCTACTTGTCGAAAATAAGAAGTTGTTTGGTTGATTGCATTGTTTCAAGGTTAGACATGAAGATAGATATCTATTAAAACAGGGTTGAGTGAACTGCTCATAGCTATCCCATATATGTAGTACTAAAGAGTGTTGTCAAACTGGAATTGTACATTCATGGTACACGTTGGCAGTAAGCGTTTGAATTCCGACATTGGAAGTCGGATAAGATCAAAATACTGACAAAAGATCTTGGTAGTTTCATAGATTGAAATCCTTCTGAACAAGGAGGTTACATCAAATGTGACGCCATGAACTTATCTGAAACGTTCATGTGGTTCACGCTTTTGGTGAATTAGAAGTCATTTTTATGGCTTACAAAGCTAGCCGGTGACGAATGGGTCCCAACTCCTCTGCAAGCCGACGGGCACCCTTATGTTTAAGCGAGTTGATCGTTGAAAGTATAGGCACCTGGGAGACTTGTTCTGTATGTTTTCTTTTGGAAGTTCATACCGACCGAATGGATCCCGCTAGTCACAACTTTTTACTAGGACTCACTCCAGGCAATTTCATTCTATAGCCATTCACTAGGAGCATCAGATTAGAGTTTTTCGTGAGTTGCCTAGTAACCTGCAAAGGGGGGGGGGATTCTGCATTAAAACCTCAGTTTGTGGGCGCACTGATGATGACTCCCAAACTAGAACGAGATAGCATTTGTCCAATATGCCTTGGTTTCTAACGTTTGTCCGACTGGTATATCAATCAATATTGAGTTATTTAAAAAAAACATTTCACAGTGAACTGACTCACTGACTGAGTTTTAACGTCAAACTTTGTTGAAAAGCTCAACACTTCAAGTTTCCATATTCCGTATACTAGCGTATATATATATATAATTTCCTTTAAATCCTAGAGGAACATAGGGCTTCAGCCACGCGTCTTTATTGCGTTCGGTTCTCTGCCAACGTCTTCACCTCTTTCCAAGTCTTCCCACATGCTTTCATCTCCTCCTTACATGACCTCCTCCAAGTCACCCCACTCTCGCACTGACGACCAACTCGCCACCCGCTTCCCTTTCGGGTTCCACTCGAGCAATGGCTTGTCTAGTGATGTCACTCACGTGAGGGTTTGTAACCTCAGAGTATGGCCAATCCATCTCGAATTCTTCCTGCATATTTGTTGCACAATCAGTTCCTGCTGTGTTGGTTTGCTCCCGGAGATCCCTGTTCCTGATCTTTTCTGACCGGCCATCTGATCTTGAACGGAGTATTGAGCGAAGACAGCTAGCTGTTGATGAAGGTCTGTAGTTTGTTTGAGATGCTCTTCATGACGCGCTGGCCAGGTCTCTGATCCGCATAGTGTGTAGCACTGACTGACTTCACATTGGAGTTGAAAATCCGGATCTTATTTTCATTTTCATGCTGGGTGCTGTTGACCTCCACACAGACTTGAGAGTAGTGAAAGCCTGTCTTGCTTTCCCGATTCTGGCTTTGATATACTCGTCAGTCCCATCCGCCTGTAGTTGAAACGATGCTTCCCAGGTAGGTGGGTAGGTGAAGGAGGTTGTTTCTTTCAGGTTCCTCCTATTTATGCCGGCTGATTGTTGTATGTTGTTTTTGCTGTTAGTGTTGGCGATGAATCTTCATCAACTACCTCTGTCTTCTCTATGTTCACCTGAAGTCCTATCTTTGATGCTTCTTCTGCCAGCTTGTTGCTTTTCACTTGCATATCTTCGAGTTTGTGGGAAATCAGACATATATCATCGCGGGCGAAGTCCAGATCCTCCAAGTTTTTTCGTGTGAGTCCATTTTATGCCTGTTTCCTCGCTGCTCGCCGCTGTTTGTCGCATTATCCAATCTACTGCAATCAGGAAGATCATTGAAGTTACTAGGCACCCAGCCTTGTCTTATTCCCGTCTTCACTTCGAAGGATTCCGTAAGTTTCCCGTTGTGGATTACTTGACATGCAGCATTGTCGTATAACTGTTGGATGAGATGTATAATTGTCGATGGCACCTCGTAGTAGCGAAGTAGTTGCTAAATGACTTCTCGATCGACACTGTCTAAGGCCTTTTCAAAGTCGATGAAGTTGAGATAGAGAGGTGACCGCCATTCCAAGTTTTGTTCAGTGATGATCCGTAGTGTGGCGATTTGATCAAGGCATGACTTGTTTCTCCTGAATCCAGCCTGTTCCAGTCAAAGTTTTTCATCCAGGTTGGCTTGTTTGATTCTCTCCAGGATGATGGGGCTTATTATTTTGCTTGGTATGGACAGGAGGATAATTCCGCGACAGTTTTTGTATTGACTTTAGTCTCCTTTCTTTGGTAGTTTGAATAAGTAGTCTTTCTTCCAATCCTCGGGTACTTTACCCTCTTTCCACACCTTCTTCAGCAATGGCGTCATGAAGTCCGCTGTTGCCTCTGGGTTCATTTTCAATGCTTCTGCTGGGATTCCATCTGGTCTTGCTGCTTTTTCAGCTTGTAGCATCTTGATTGCATTCAGGACTTCTGATTTCGTCTGGGGATTGATGTTGACTGGTAGTTCTGCTTCCGTTGTTGGTATTGTTAGGCGCGTTGTAGGTGGCGGTCGATTTAGAAGTCTTTTGAAGTGTTCAACCCAGTGTTTCCTTTGTTCCACTTCTTTGGTGGTTGACTTTCCATTGTCATCCTTCACCGGCTTAATTTGTGTCGAACGTTTGCCCGAAAGGTGCCTAGTTGTTTGGTAGAGTGTGGCAAAGTGTCGTTTGCCTGCAGGTTGTTCTGGTTCACTTTCCGTGTCTTCATAATATTTTCTTTGTCTCTTCCTCGGCACTCTTCTTTACTCTTTTGTTCAGTGTACTGTAGCTTGCATTCAACTCCTGTTTTTGTTGCTTGTCGGTGCACTGGATAATCTTTTGTTTTACTATCATTCTCTCTTCTGTTAGTTTCCAAGTGTCTGTAGTGAGGCACTGTTTGTCCTGTCTCTTCTTTCTGCCTAGAACTTCCATGCAGGTTTGGCTCCACACCGCTTTTAGGTTGTCCCAGTGCTTTTATCGACGCCGACCTCTTCGCTAGTGTTGATTTTTGTCTTGGATTTGTTCCTTATGCTTTCAGTGAAGATATCATTTGTATCCTGTTCCTTCAATTTTGAGTGTTGAACTCGGCTTGTGGTCTATCTGCAGCTCCTGTTTCCCTGAAAGCTCTTAATTTGATGTGGATTGTCCTTTGTATGAGATAGTGGTCTGAGCCAACGTATGTTTGATAGAATTATGTTTTCGAGCTTTTGCACTACTGCTTCTACAATCAAATCTGATATTGGCGATCCCATGGGTGTTCCTTTGACTTGTGCATGTATTTGGCCGTTGAATTGGAAGTACGTTGTTAAGCGTAGGTTAGTGCATTGCATCCAACTTGTGTGTTTCATTTTTGATTGTTGTGTAAGGGGGTGTTCATCTTTGTTGAGTAATTGATCCATGGTTTGTTTTGCAAGTTTTTATCCGATTGAAGTATATAATGCTGTGACGTCGAAGTATATCACTATTTTTTGTTTGTCTATTTGTATGCCTCTGATTTTCTCTAGGAATTGGATAGGAGAGTTGATGGAGTGATCCATAACATTCCGTTGGGTGTTTTAGTATTCTGTATAATTCTTTGGATAGATTATATGTTGGAGTTCCTGGGAGTGATACAATTGGTTGTAACGGGTTATTTGTCTTGTTTTGTGATCTGTCCAGTTTTGGTGAGCTTGTTTTAGGTCCTTTGGATGCGGTTGTCCAGTGTTTGTATGGGATTTCTTGGGAGTTGTTTACATACCTCCTCGTCCATGAGTAGTTCTTCAGGTTTCTTGGTGTATTTTTCTCTGTTCATGACTACTGTTGTTCTTCCTTTGTCGGCTGGTGGAATGGCAATGTCCTCCCTATTTTTCAGCTTTTTGAGGGCCTTTAGTTCTTGAGAGTTGAGTTGTGTGTGTTGTTTTTTCTGTTTGATCATTGGTACAGTTGTTTTGCTTATCTCTTCCAGTGTTTCCTCGTTCCTTCGATGATTTGAGTAATGATTCGAGGGCAGCGAAGAAGTCAGTTTTCGAAGCCTCTCCGGTGTTGTAGTTTAATCCTTTTTACAGGAGTTGTTGTTTTGATAGGTTGACTACACAGTCAATAGGTGCATTGTCTGGTTATTGTTTTCTAATCTTAGCCATCTTGGTTTTGAGAAATCTCCGTCTTTCTTCTCTCTGTCTTCTACTTGACAATGTAATTGCGGTGATCAGCGTTGACAGGTGTTCCCTGTTAAGGGTGTCGTTTCCTCTAGTTTTTCTTTTTGGACATCTATTATTTGTTGATATTCATTGATCCGATAATGTACGTCTGTAATCATTAATTTGACCATTCACCTTCCACATTGTTCGGCCAATTTCCATCCCATTAGTCCCAATGGGATTAAAACTTCTTCACTCTGTATTATATCAGATAAATTCACCTTCTATGCCTGTCTGTTTTCGACATAGAACTTTGAACCGATGTCCACCAGTTCAAGTCGCCACACTCCACTCCGTATAGCACACAAATCAACAGAAGAAAGTAAAAAGAAATGCAAAATAGAGACAGTAAACACAGATATGAGACAAAAGGAATAGTAATGACGAACGAAGAACAATATAGTTTCATTGGAAAGTGTAAGTCACAAGGAGTGGATGCATCTGCACCAGCCAGCCACTGACAACGATTTTGAGCCATATCATCCATTGTTCCCAGCCTTCATTGGGGTTCAGCGTCACGACGCTTCAACCAGGAATTCTACACATTCCTACATGGCTTGGACTAACTGTTACAGATTTCATTGACTAGTGCCATGTTTTGGTTTGACCGCCACTGGCTCTCTACCAGCCTGACCCTATGTCAGCTAACATAGAACTATATAATAGGCGTTGTTAATAGTCTGAAGTTACATTTGGTACTTGTCGGTTGAACAGATTTATCACTTTTTATACGTTACTTTTAGACGGTGGCTCTTTGGGATCTACGCAATCTGCGATTGAAACTGCACTCTTTTGAATCTCATCGAGATGAAATATTTCAGGTTAGTGCCAGTCTCTATTGATACTATCCTAATGTCTATATATAGGCCTGTTTTTAACTATTTATCTTCATGTAACAGAAAGGTCGAGCAGCGAAGAAATGTTTACTTTTCAATTAGATCCTCATCTCAATCTGGCTCTATCTACTCTAATATACACGTATACACGCAATTTTATTACAATAAACAACAGTTTACCAATCATCAAGTGGCACTGATATCTTTGTTAACAATAATTAGTCAGTCAGTGTCAACGTGTCAAGCAGTGGGGTGATAATTAGCGAAGAAAATTCATACACACAATTAAAAGGTAGAAATGGTTAGAATAAATTAATTTTATAAGGATAACACGTAATTAAAGATGAAGTGGTCAGAAAAAATAAAATAATTTGGACAATTATAATGTTTAAATGTTTAGGGGGAGGGGGCGAAGTAGTTCGGTTTATACATTCATGATGGCAAAGGCAATAAAAGTGGCTGTACAAATTTCTTCTGAATACACACACAGGTTTGGATTCTTCTTCAGAAGGGTTCCTGTTGCTTCAACTGTCGTATGTAGAAGACGAACTCGTAGAACAAAATTAAGATTAGTAGGGATGCGATATATAATTTTAAATGCAGTATTAACGTCAAACTTATACTCACTATCTACTAGGTGTGCTAAAATAGACCTGCAATGAATAGATCTTGTTTTTCCGTTGCTTAACCATGTTGGATAATGTTCCGAAATGCGATGATGAGTCTGCCTAATTGTACAACGCCCGATGTAATTGGCTCCGCAGCTACAGTCAAACTGGTAGATACACATAGAAGAGGCAAACTTAGGTAGTTGGTCCTTATTTCTCGAACGTAGAATAACGGGGGGTTGTGAAGAGACAACGTACCTCTGCTGCATAATAAGCTCTTTTAACTGCATTCTTCAGGTGCTCGCTATGTTATTATTTCGCTGATCTTGTCACTGAGGAACTGTAGTCTTACGAACATTGGTTTTTCCGGAACTGTCGCGATACTGACTCTCCTAGGTGGTGAATTCATATTTTTCTCAATGAATTTATCTGGATAACCATTTTTTCTAAATAATTCTCTAATAATCTTAAACTCCTCATTGAGGCAGTTGTCTGAACAGATTAACTTAGGTCTATGAACCAGATACTTTACCGGGTTACGTCGGTGGCACAGTGGTTAGGACTCTCGACGACCATGCACATGGTCCGGGGTTCGAGCCCACGCCGGCGCACACCTGATATCTATGGTCGGCCTGCAAAATTTGGGCTACCGATATTGTTATGTACTAGTTTTCCCCGTCGCCAAATTGTTATGTACTCGTCGCTAAATTATTGTTATGGACTGGTCGAGAAACTAATTCCTGACGCGAGAAGGCGGAAATCAGAAGACCACTAGGTTTGCGATGATACTTCTATTGTCCAAACACAAAGAGACGAAAATAAATGGTCTCACACCAAAGTGGTAAGTAAGTAAAGTAGTTCACACAAATTGTGTGAACGGAATATATATATATATATATATATATATATATATATATATATATATATATATATAGCAGACATGTCAAACAACCATATATGGATATATGTCACTAAGCTACGGACTGTCAACAAACACTCATATTATATATAATATAAATATAAGGAGAATATACATTATTAAAGGAGACAAGTTCACACAAGTGAAATGGTCACAGACTAAGCGAGCAAACAGAAAGAGAGACCAACATGCACACACACACATAAATATATATATGTGGATACATATCAGATATCCATGCTGAAAATTCCATACTTGTACCAAAAATACAGTATGGAATCAAGCTGTAAATCAAAAAATATAAAATATAAAAAATATAAATATAAAAAGGTACAAAACTGACACTGACTGACTAATTATTGTTAACAAAGATATCAGTGCCACTTGATGATTGGTAAACTGTTGTGTATTGTAATAAAAATGCTATAGGTGTATATTAGAGTAGAGTCAGAGTTAGATGAGGGAGATCTAATTGAAAAGTAAATATTTCTTCTCTCAGCTCAATCTTTCTGTTTTCTAAATGTCTACATGGGGATTTTTTTCTGTTTGTCTTCAAAAGATTGATCACCGAACAAAGAATATTCACATTTCCTATGGTAACCTGCTCTTCATCATCCTGTTCTCCAGTCATATATCCAACCATGCCAAAAAATGAATGACTTTCTAGTATTGGTTTTTTCTTCTAGGGAATTTGTTTGATTGGTTGGAGGATTTCAGCATGAGCTGACATCAGTTAGAGAAACATTGGAAAACCCTCTACAGGGAGTACTGCCAGACAGCTGTTTCAGTTGTCTTGGTTTGGGACAGGCTCTTCAGCCGTACACACCCACCACAGGGGGGTGGGTTCGAACCTAATGGTTACAAGGCTATGATGAAATCCTGTAACCAGTCGATCAAATCCCTACAAACCAGTACTTGAATGATTGTCACTGACGACAACATTAGTGTGTTTTTGTTGTTGATTTTAGAGGTAACATCGAATCATTCAGAACAGAATTCCAAAATTTATTTGCAAATAGATTCTTAATAGATTATAGTCTAAAGTATATTGTGTATGTGGTAATATGTATCTGTCTGTCTGGATTCAACATAGAACTTGGCACCGAAGTGCAGCAGTTCGAGTTGCCACGTTCCAAATAGCACACAGAGGTAGACAAGAAGATGAGTGAAGAGAATCAATAGAGTTTGACAAATATAAGAGTGAAACAGAATGGGTAATGGTAGAAAGGAATATGAAAGATTACAGAGATTGAATACATCTGCGCCATTGACAACGATTTTGAGCCATGTCACCTATTGTCTCCAGCCATTGATTCCTAGAGTCCCGAGGGCCCCAACCCGGGAGTCTGCATCTCCCTACCTGACTCAGTTTAACTGTCAAGGATTTCATGGATTGATGCCATGTTTTTGTTTGGCCACCACTGGCTCTTTTCCAACCTGAACCTATATCAGCTAACAATGCCCGTCGGGGGAGGCGGTGGTTAGGCATGCGCACCACGTGACCTAGCCATCTTAGTCTATGTAACTTTATAACCTCGTCGATTGATTTTCCCTCTTTGCCCAACACTCTACGCCTAACGTCAACATTACTTACCTTATTAAACCACCTAACGTGAGACAGAGATCGCAGACATCTATGATCGAAAGCAGTCAACCTTTTCATGTCTTCAACGCGTATTGGCCATGTTTCAGAGCCATAGAGAAGGACGGAGCGAACTGATGAGCAGTACACACGTCCCTTGGTTGATAACCGGATGTCACGCCTACGCCAGAGATGGTGTAAGTCAGCGAAAGCAGCTCGAGCTTTTCGGATCCGTGCTGAGATTTCATCGCCAATCAGTCCGTTGGTGCTAATACAACTTCCCAAGTAGGTGAAGTGGTCAACATGTTCTATCACTTCACTCCCTATCACTAAGTTAGGGGTTGACGTGGTCCAGTCCTGTAGCAGCATCTTACATTTTGCAGGGGCGAATCGCATGCCAAACATACGAAGATTGCTGCTCAAGGTGTTCAGAAGACTCTGCATTTTGTCAGCATCCTCCCCTAACAGGACTATGTCATCTGCATATTCTAAGTCCATTAGATTATTCCCTGGTAACAAGTCGATTCCTAAGTCACTACGTTCAGTTAAGGATACTTCCATTAGCATATCTATGATGAAGTTAAACAGAAATGGGGAAAGTGGACATCCCTGTCGGACACCACTGGTTGTTACCAATTCAGATGACAATTCCCCATAAGCCCTTACACGACTACGTGAGTTTGAATAGAGTGCCTTGATTAGTGCAATGTACTTTCTTGGCACTCCCTTCACAGTCAGACATTGCCATAGTACTTTTCGGTCCACGGAGTCGAAGGCCGCCTTCAAGTCAAGAAATATGACAATTGTTGGACGCCGAAAAGTGTGTCTATGTTCTAGAATCTGTCGAAGAGTGAAGATATGATCTATGCACCCTCTACCTGGTCTAAAGCCTGCTTGATTTTCCCTTGTCTGTTCCTCCCGAGTTCTGCTTAGTCTATGCATGATTACTGAGCCTAGGATTTTAGAGACTATGTTCGTTAGGCTGATCCCCCTATGATTATCACACGAGGACTTGTTTCCCTTCTTGAATATCGGTATAATAAGTGACTTACCCCAGTCTGATGGTACTGTCTCTGATTCCCAGACTTTGCCTAGTACCTCAGTTAATCTACAAACTAGTATGTCACCCCCATATTTAAACACCTCCGGAATAATTCCGTCGGGTCCTGCCGCTTTGCCTCGTTTCAAATTACTGATAGCTTTTGTAACCTCACCTACAGACGGCGGACCAGTGTCTATATCCCATTCGGGTACGTGGTGGATGGCGGGGAGGTTCAGTGTGGCTGTAGGCAAGTTAAATTGTTCCTCAAAGTGTTCTTTCCAGCGTTCAAGGCGTCTATCCTGAGAGCTAATTAAGGAGCCATTTTTCTCAGAAATAGTCTCACTTATGAATTGCCTTTTCCCGCCCGATTCTGTGATGAGTCTAAAGAGTTGCCTAGTGTTGCCTATCGCCAATGCTTTTTCCATCTCTTTCGCCTTTGTCACCCACCACTGTTCACGGTCTTTGCGGAGACTTTTAGTAAGTTTCCTTTTGTGCAGCTTTCGCTCCTCATTGAATTCTACAACAGTATTTCAAAGTAGATGATTATGAATGACTACGAATGTATGGTTATTAATTCTAATGAGTCATTAGTATTTAATTGGTGGATGATGACTAGCAGTGGAATCCATGACGCGCATTTCGTCCTATTTGGGACTCGTCAACTGGATGTACCTGCATTCCCCAGTGAGTTGCCACCAAGGGACCCTGGATACCACTGCTAGTCACCAGTTAAAAATTCTAATTAAATGTTCAGACATCGTCGAAGCATCTGCACAAGAAGCCAACAGACATGCCAACCTGAGACCGAGCAATTCGGTCCAATAAATCGACAGG